ATAATAATAATAATGAAACATTACATATATCAGAACAAAATAATACCTGCAGTTCCAACATGTCGTTGGGGTTCAAAGGCCAATAAATACAATGGGAGGTTGGTGGGTGATTTGGTTGTGATGTGCCCCTTCTTTGAGATCAAATATCTATCGTCCTTATCTCTCATCCTTCATTTTGTGTTTGTTACTCTCCTGTAACACCTTTAATCCTCGGCACTTATGTGACTTAATTGTGTTGTTAGTGCCGTAAAACTCTTCCTAAAACCTGAACACAATTATGAAAGGGTTGGTTTGAACTTCATACCGCAGCTTTCCTTTCCTGTTTTCAGGTTAATGTTATCAACATTTTATAAAATCCATACTTTGTTTTCTAATTTTATTTTTACAATGGTAATATTTTGATTGTTTTGTTTTTATTTTGAGTACAAAGCTCCAGAAGACAAATAGTGCATACCTACTGACTAAGATAGATAGATAGATAGATAGATAGATAGATAGATAGATAGATAGATAGATAGATAGATAGATAGATAGATAGATTTTTCTAGTTTCAGTAAGAGTTTTAGGGCCCTTGCAATACAAACAGGTCAAAAAACGTGGTGATGATTACAGGTGTTGCTACAAAAGAGTAATATACAAAGAAAAGGAGGCGGAGGAAAGATGAGGACGATAGATGTTTAATTGGAAAGAATGAGCAAACCACAACAGAGCACCTGCCTCTCACCACAATATATAGATAGATAGATAGATAGACAGAGAGATAGAATGATAAATAGATAGATAGATAGATAGATAGATAGATAGATAGATAGATAGATAGATAGATTGATAGATAGATAGATAGATAGATAGATAGATAGACAGATAGATAGATTGATAGATAAATAGATATTTATATATAGACAGATAACTCACCTTTAACGTTCACTGTAATTCCTTTAGTCTGTAACTTTCTTATGTACGGGGGACTGGGAATAAGTAACGATGGCCAAGGTAACGTATCTTAAACAGTGTCGTCCAAATGAAACTTTGAACATATAATCACCCAACCATTGTGTTAAAGCCTTGCACTATCCACTCATGCAGCATACCATTGTAAAGCTAAATACGTTCTGCGTCATCAGACACATTCATATTTTATCTATTTTAAGAGACACCCGAGATATGGTCACTCAAATCTGACCTTAAAAATTCAGATTTGACCAAAATTGTGAGAAATCAAAGAAACTTAAAATTGTCTTCGCGCGCCTATTGAGGAGCATCAATATTGATAGAAAGGACATATGCCTACATTATGCTTCTAATGAAAGGAAATTTTGGTGTCTGCAAAAACAGTATTTTGATTGGATAGTTAAAAAAAAAAAGAAAACAGAACGATCACAAATACATGTTCCACGCAACGTTTGGACTTGACAGTTCATATACTCATTGTTATCTTGCTTAGGAGCCATTGGTTTTGTGTTGGGCACGAACCATTTGGGCATCAGCTCTATTAAAATGTGGACATAATTGTGTGTCATATCATTCCAAACGTCACTGACAGTTGCTAATAAAGGGTCTGCATTGGGAGCAAAGTCCATGTTCTTTAACTGCTTTTCATGGGACTTCACATTCCTGTAGGATTCATATCGGGGCTATTTACTGGTGACCACTCCAACATTGATATGATTTGGTTTTCCAAGAATTGTCTAGTGGCAATGGCCCTGTGAGAAAGTGCTTCGCCATGCATGGAGATGTCTATTTGAAAAGCACCATGACGAAATAAGAGTAAGACATAACCTTCCAGCACTTGGGCGATGTTGTCAACTAAACCAAGTCATCTGGTGATTCACACGAGGGCAGATTTGTTTATTCTACCCCTGACCACCCAAAACGATGACAGTTTCGTGGCCTCTGCCCCTCACTGGCGGATGATTTTCCAAGAATCTAACTATCACAATCTATGTGCAAAAGAGGTTTTGTGTTCTATATGAAACCAATAGCTCCTAAACAAAAACAATCATACCAATGGGCACATGTAATATGAAGTCGAGGTTTTGCATAGTATTTTTTACTACTCTGTTCTTTAATCTGTTTGAAAGCATCATCAGAAGATGATATCCATTGCAGAAACAATGGTATTCTCCTCTCATTCGATATTCAACGAATGTCCATTCCACCAAAGTTGATGGACTTCAATACTCGCGTGAACACATTTTTATGTTTGTTTGATTTCACACAATTTTGCCAAGCCTGATTTTTTAAAGGTTAATTTTGAATGACCATATCTCGGGCGTCGCTTAATATAGATGAAATATTAATGTGTCAGATGATGTAGAATTTAATTAACTTTGAATTGGTATGCTGCATGGGTAGTGCAAGGTAGTTCAAGGTAGTGCACGAAGATTGGGTGATGATATTTTAAAGTTTCTTTTGGGCATCACTGTATAGAGGGAAATTGCATGTCATCGTGGTGGAATCAGGCGCTAGTCATTATAATGGAATATATTTTTTCTGATGGATGGGCAGTATTTGATATTTAGCTTAGCAGCATCTTTCATGTCTATTATGTACATCTACTGACACATTTATTTCTGTGTGGTTGTTCACCGTGAAACATTGACCAAAGGCACACAAAAGAAAAAAAAACTGTTTCAAAGGATACCCCAGCTTTGGAAGTCGCTAAACTGTGGTGGTCATCTTCTAACTAATTTTACTTTTATCACCAGGCGACCCCCACATCCTTCAATCGCAAATATCTCGTTTTCTACTCAAAATAAATGGGCATTTTTCACCCAGAGCAAGACAAATGAACGCACTTAAAGATGATACCAAAAACCCCTTATGCCCAGAAACTGACGAGTGCCTGATTTCTCCTTTTTGTCGTGATACAATTAATGAGAAATCGTTATCTTGTAATTACAACGTTCTATCTGATAAGCACCTAGTTTTGAGAACTTTTACGTCAAAAAGTTTGAGTTTCACAACATGTCAAGATTTTTCGAATACACTTCTTTGAATATTTTGATAATGACTCCAAATAATCTTATGATTTTGATAGAGCAGACAGAACATTTGGTTTCGGTTCCATGGTCTTAGTAACTCAAAATACGGCCAAAAATGTCCGATAAAACGTTGTAATATTCTAAGGTAGCGATAAATCGCTTTGGTTACATTCGAAATTCAGGTTAGGCATTTTGTGTAATTGAAGGGGTCCGAAAAGTAACAGGTCTAAATCACATTATGCTAAAAAATAGAGTTCTGTGTGAGGACACACATCAATGAAAGCAACGCAGCAAAGCATTTGAATGAAACTACTGGATGGCTTGAAATAGGAGTTTATGTCCTTAAAAATTAACATAAACTCGGTAGTATAATATCATGCGTTGTAGTCCTAGTGAATTTCGCATTTTTGTCGAAACGACCCCAAGGTGACCCTTTATTTTTCTGAACCCTTCAATTGTCAGCAAAACATAGCCGCACGTCAGGGTATTTCTTAAGGGACCGTGAATAAAAAATCAACTTTTGGAACAGGTTCCTTGACAAAGAGATTATAATTAAATGTCGAAAAACGAAGCCTTGAATTGGTCTTTAAAAAGTGTAGAGGTAAGTTATCAGTCTTTTTAACTGATGCTGAGGTATTTGAAAGCGAAATTTTTGTCGTTGCTCTGTTTTTATATCCGGTTCCAGTACCTTGGTAGGCTTGATCATAGCTAGATAGATAGATAGATAGATAGATAGATAGATAGATAGATAGATAGATAGATAGATAGATAGATAGATAGATAGATAGATAGACCCTTGATATGCGTATTGGTCAAGCTGCAGAGGTTCTATTCACTATTACACGGACATAACATGTATAGACCACTGTGGCAAACCTGTTCATTTTGTTTAGCCAGATTTCCTCAGCACTCGTGAGCGGAAGCGGAAAGACATAGTCCAAGGACTCGGATCTCGTCCAATCAGTGCACGTCAAGTTGTTGTCGCCGCGCGGCTTGCCACAGAACCAGGGCAGGCCGCCGTTGAGGGCCGTCAGGTTACACACGTGCCTGTATCCGGGCACGGCGGGGTACCACATGCACAGCGACGCCTCTGTGTGCCGGCCGTTCTCGAACACGGCCGAGAGGTATCGCATCGTGCCCAGCGCGGCTCGAAGAAACACGCCCAATCGGACGACCTCTCGCGGGTGATGTATTGCGACCTTCACCTCTGACCTCCCGGGCCAGTTGAGCGGTAGCGACGCCACGTAGCTTCCGTTGTGGAGGTCGGTCACATGACCGGGTGTGGCTGCCCCTTTCGTGACGTCATATATCCACGCCCGGATTACGTCCCCTCCTTTGTCACGTGGTCTACCTCGGACGTCGTGGAGGTCGATTCGTACCGTCAATAGATCCCCAACCGCGAAGTTTCTTGAAGAATTTATCAACACAGCTGTGGACGTGAACTCACTTGCCACACTCATTGCATCATCCAGAGGGCTCTGATCGTTAAGAATTTCTAATTCCACCTCTGACAATCTTGGAAACAAACTAGAATTATTATAATGGGTCTTTTCAAAGACACGTATAATCTTATCGCTGTTATGATTCCCATCATGAACTATGATACGTGAAGGACGTTCCTCTTCATCATAACTGCAGCGAAGTGAACAGTTGAGGTAACTTCTGTAATGGAGTAGTCTTTCCAGCACGTTCACACCCCCAGTGGTGAGCCAGGTGTTCAAGAACTCACGCGTACCTCTCGAAGAATTTGTCGGCTGGATATTTCTGCCGCACCAGGGTGAAGGAGGACTCGCCCGTCGTCTCGGTTGTGACGTTTCACGTTTATTGTTTCCCTCTTGTCCCGCCTTGTGCTGGACCTGGTCTTCCTCTCTGGCGTTAGCCCCGCCCACATGCTGTAGCCAAGGACTGTGAAGAGAGTAAAAAAAACCCAAACAACAATAAACAAATGTCACGCATAGTCATAATGTTTTGCTTTGTTTCTTTTTGGCTCAGCACCTTTTATTTCCTTCTAAAAGACACCCCCCACACC